GCCAGTTTGCACACATTTCTTTGAAGGATTGCAAAAATATCGTCTGTATATCGAGATATTGAAAAAAAGATATCAAGATATTAATTTTTGTCAATATCTCCCACCCCTAGCATAGCAGTGATAGGAAAATCAATGTTTCTGAATGAGAGATCCTAGTAATGAAGCACTAAGAGGCCCGGCTCTGTTGGCTTGCTGCGCCATACTGTGCGCCCCTTATTGCTCCAGAGTGAAAAACCTGTTGAGTCCTCCAACACCCTCGGCCTGGAAATGGCGGAGCATCCGGCGCCAGGCCTTTATCCGTTGAATCCTTGAGAACCGGGTCCAGGCTGGGTCCAATATGTGTGAACCTGCGTGGATCCCATATGTGTATTTCTTCCATGGCTGCTCCTAAACGGAAGCCCGTGTCTTTTTCTTGGGCTAAGTCACCAAGTATTTATATGCAGTACAACCTTAGTCCTTATGTATATCTCCACATAACTCCTTCGGGGAAGAATGTGGGTTCCGCAGCATTCTCCTTCCTAACAGAAAGGGCACACTTCCCAGTGTTATCCAGTAATTTCACTGTATGGGTTATCACGGAACAACAGTGACAGATATACTCTGTATAAGCCCTTTCCTATCATCCTTCCAGGCAAGAAGTGGCAAGAGGCTTGCACTGGATGGGGTCAGCAGCTGTGCCCCTTTGGTAGGGATTCTTATTCGTTGGTCTCGACGTGGCGTCGACTGACCGGCTGAAGAGGAACGTCTCGGTTACATATGGTAACCCTCGTCCTGTCGCCACATTTGCTGCGGCCCGCTGGGGCAGCCAACTCATCGACTCGGCTCCTCAGCAAAAATCTGAAATGCAATCGCACCTGCTGCTTATTATATACCCGCGCTGCGTGGCTGAACAGCTGATGCAAATAATTGCACGCCAATGTGCATTGGCTCGTTTAGTTTCACTCAAAGTAGATTGGCCTCTCTAGCGAGACTCCTATTCGTCGATCTCGACGTGGCGTCTCCGTTCCCTCCTTCAGGGAACGAGGGTTACCATATGTAACCGAGACGTTATCAAATATAAGAAATTTGACTGATTTAAGGCGAGACACGGCAGGCAAAAACATAGTTTTTTTTTCACTGGTCAATTTTGAGATTTCGGGATATTTGTCTTCAGTAACATGTCTTCTTTCAGACTTGTGGTGAAAAAAAGTCCGAAATGCACATTTAGGTCTTTATTTTACTGCACTTTGTCTGTTTGCGTCTGTAGATTTCTCATAAATTCATCAAAAGTTGGCGATCTAAATCATCCGTTGCTCCGCGATCGCGATCTGCACCCTCTCATCACACACACCGTTAGAAAGCTCTCTCTCTCCTGTACAATGCTGTCGCATCCAAATATGGTCATTTCCTTTTTATCAGCAACCAATCGTGAAAGTAAAAGGGCGCAAATGCGCAATCTCATTGGCTGATGCTAAATCTTTAAAGCCCGTTTTCTCAAAATGACTTTTCTCTCATACTCAAAGTCCGAAATCTCCACTTCGGTAGCACCTATACACACCAAACTTTACAGTCTTGTACCTAGTTATATTATGAAGACATTTACAGAGGGATTTGTAAATATATTATTCCTAGCCCGATATATATAACATTTTATTCCAAAAAACATGGCAAAAATATTTTTTTTAAGGCTATTGACAGTATATTCTGATTTATAGGATAACAAAAGTAGATATCCATAAATCCCTCTGTAATTTTTTTCCCATCTAATATGTGAACACAATGAAAAAAGAATTTTGAAGCTGGCTTTATCCAATACTCAGATTTCATTTTTTGAAATATATGCAAATTAGCGCATATTTAATTAGATAATGCCTAATTTGCATATTTAAACATTAAATTACAGAAAACTTGTAATACATTTTTTCTCATCTTAATGTAGGTAATCAACTGGGAAAGTTTCATGGTGATATCTGCAAGTTAAAAAAATTATCCTATTCACCTGTAGTGTCTCGCCTTAAGAACATCTTATAAAATTTTGATTTTAGCATAGACAAGAGGGAAATGTTTGCTTGAGCTCAACTGTCATTTTTGAGCCACAAGCAGCACTAAACAGAATGATAAAAGTAATGACTGTTTGAACAGGTTTCCCGAACACTCCCCTGTCTGCTATTGATCAGAGAAAAAGATAACCCTTTTCCCAAACACTCCATTGGTTGAGCTAATGTTGGTCAGGATTCTCAAACAAACAGAGCAATGTTTGATTGCGAAACAAATTATTTATCTTTAAAGTAATGAAATTCCTATATTTTTTGAAAACATGTGTCTCATTTACACTTTTCAAAGAAGAATATATATCAGCTGGGTGATATGACTTGAGATTCAGCTAGGCTTCAGCAAAAACAGGCCATAATGTTCCACATAAATCACTCCGAAAGAAAGACCTATAAAAATGCACACATAAAAGGATACAAATTTAACTTGCCTTTCACAAAGAAGTGAAGTATCTCACAAAATCTGCTCTGATAAAGAGAATAGAACTCAGTGTAGTCCATCTGTTTCATTAGTTGGTATAGGGCCCTATGTTTTCTACAGAGCAGAAAATGTGGACAAATTGCAGATTCCAGTCATAATAATGTCTATGATAATAATACATTTATCCCCACCGGGGATAAAAATAATTAAGCAGAGGCAGGGATACTTTGACCAGAAAGGGGGAAATCCCACGCACCCTGCATTTACTCCTCTCTTACACAAATACAGATTCAGGATAATCAAAATGAATAAAAACAGTGAAATGCAAACCTGCAAAAATGAAAAGTAAAATTACAAAAATATACTTTATGTATTTAATCTCACTTTATTAACCAATGTCTTTGCAGCTGACCTTTTGGTTTTTATTAGAGGTAAGAGCGGGCCTGTCCAAATACCCACACTTGCAGTCTTGTCCACTTGAGAGCACGTGCACGCAAAAGGAAGTATGTGTGCAGGACTGTCCCAGGTCTTAAAAACGCTGAAGCTCAGTGCCCTTAAAACAGTAAACCCACACAGTATTCGAGGCTAAGCGTATCCCATCATGCATCATGTTCAGGAACTCATGTGCCCCAAAATCACGAGATTTCAAGGAAAACATTCCACTGCAAGTTAAATGAATTCGATATTACTCATGATTTGGTAGTAAAACATTAAATTTGACCCTGGACCATGCACAACACCAGTCACATGGGTCAATTTTTTTTTAATAAATAAGCTTTCCATTGATGTATGGTATGTTAGGATAGGACAATATTTGGGCGAGATACAACTATTTGAAATCTGGAATCTGAGGATGCAAAAAAAAAAAAATCGAAGCATTGAGAAAATCGCCTTTAAAGTTTTATGTTCGCGATTGTGCTGCATTCACTCACAAAAATAAATGTTTTATATATTTACGGTAGGAAATTTACAAAATATCTTCATGGAACATGATCTTTACTCAATATCCTAATGATTTTTGGCATAAAAGAACAATCGATAATTTTGACCCATACAATGTATTGTTGGCTATTGCCACACATATACCCGTGCAACATGTGACTGGTTTTGTGATCCAGGGTCACAAGTGTTGCACATTTTATTGGTGCAAATATATTTATTTTGTACACCATTTCCAACTGCTTTTTATCACTTAATTAGAAGTAACACAGTTATTAAATTGTGTCATCTGTTACATACAACTGAACAGACATTTAGAAGTTTATTTTAAAAGTACTGAAAATCAAAATGAAGCTCTGTAAACACTTGCATTTCTATCACATCTGTCCCATCAGGTAATCAAATATTCTACACACACTCTGGTAATGGAATTATAATATTCTGATTGTTCCAATCCAATCTGACCTATAATGCTGCCTTAATCATAATCATACACTGTGACTCTATTTTCTTCTGGAAACAAACTTTGTTGCGGTTTCCTGTTACTGTATCTAAAGCTGCTTTAAAAACAATCTGTATTGTAAAAAGCGCTATATAAATAAATGTGACTTGAACACATGGGCAAATTACAGGAAATATGCCATGCAAGTAGACAAATAGTCAAATGCAAAGACCGTGGGTATTTGGACAGGCTTTACATTAACGAAAAATATAACTTTTTTTGTCATTAAAAAACAAACAAGAAAGCCCAGCCCAGATGAGAAAAGTAACACAAAAGTAACGTAACGCACTACTTTTCAAAAAAAGTAACCAAGTAATGCAGTTTGTCACTTTTTTTAAGGGAATAATACAATATCGTAATGCATTACTTTTAAAAGTTACTTTCCCCAACACTGGTAGTACAACACAACGTTTTTCTTTTCTTCTGTTGGGTGGTACACTTATGTTGAAATTTTTTGGCATACAGAACCAAATTAACCCATTACAAATACTTTATCTTGTAAATATTTTCATACTACAATTAAAGACTAAAAATATAAATCTGAGAAAATAGCAGACAACATCAAGATGAAGGCACAAGAGAGCAGAGAACAAGAGATGAGAATACTGGGCCATATCTTCAAAATGCAAAGCCAGACTAAAGCTTCATGTTGTATATCACAAACCTAAGCAAAAGACTCTTCATAAGACAGCTGCAATTGAAATGTAAATTAGAATTAGTCATGGCTATAGAGGGCAACTTAGCTGAGAATAAGAAATTTGGCATCTACTGAATAAATTTGCAATAAATAGACATCACAATATGTTCAGAGACAATGTCTTAGCTACCACTTAGGCCTTTTGTTACAGCTTCAAACTGTTGCAGATTATTGCATGACAATACAATGCAGTAGGCAGAATCATAAGCTTATTAAACACAACATAAAGTGAAGGCAACGTTTACAACATTCAGACTTCATATTGTAAACATTTTGTACAATAGGATGTGAATATTTATCGAAATACTCTCCTTTATACTAATTATATCCTCAACTAAAAGAATGTTATGGAAAGCTAATACTTTTTCAAATATTTAAAAAAAGTAAAAAAAAAAGTAAAAATTCAGTCAGCAATGTAAACACTAAACGGAATGAAAACAAGAGCTACAAGACAGCTTATCCTAAAGCAGAACTAAATCATTAAAACAGAATTGTCTGCCCTGAGGTATCATTGTAGTGATGCCCAAAAGTGAAAAGACAAATGGCTTGACAATCCACATCAAAATATCCATTCTTTCACTCAATGCATAAAAGTCAGAGAAAGTTCTCTGTTGAGACAAAATGTTTAGTTGCTTTCAATACAATGAAGCGCACAAGTAATATCTAGATAATCTCATTATCAAAATGTTTCCTTGAGGTAAAAGTAAACTTCTGCTTTGTTGTAGAGTACTTTACAAAAGCATGTTTCCCATAAAAACAAAACAAAAAACAAGTTTCCTTTCTCTTAGGTGGTACTAAGTGTCCTCATCCCAAAGGCACAGGTGTTTATGGTGTGTGTAGAAGTCAAACCGGTAGCCTTTGCTGCAGCTCTTAATGCCACACTTGTAGGGGTTGGACCCCTGACCCCGGCAGTACTTCAGCTGGCACGGGAACCACTCCAGGTTTAACCTGTAAGTGCAGGCGCAGGGCTGCCATGGGTCTGTAGTGGAGCTGCAGCTCTGCAAGCCACTCACATTCAGACTCTGGGGAAAGACCTCAAATATTGAACCTTCAACCCCTGTAAAGAAAAATGAAATGGGTTTAAAATAAATGAATAAAATTCAACAGAAAAAAAATTGTTTCATGGCACAAAGCAGAAAAATGTTGACTTTATCTAATACAGAGTGGTCATGGTATTTGCAGGTTAAGTGCATAATTATTCATTTGAACCCAAAAACATTTTGAATGTAACAGGGGTACATAATATGAAATATATAAATTGACTGACTGACAGACTGACTAAATAAATACACACACTATTGTTCAAAAGTTTGGGGTCGGTACAAATGCTTTCGAAAGAAGTCTTGAAGCAACCATTATTATAAAATGTCAACCCAATATTATAAAACAAATGCCATTTAAGCTGACTGCAATCATTACACACATGACTGGTAAGCTTCATTAATTAACATTAATGGAACGAATGGCAACAGTTTATTAGGCTGCTCTCCCTTTAAAAACAAATGCAAGGATCTAAAATACTGTTACACATCTGATTTTCTTCTGTTTACATTCACGTAGGACATAACAGACTGTGTGTATATGTGAATACTTCACATGATGTAAATTTTGACATAATTGTGTGTATTAGACCATTCAAGTGCAATAAGCTGTGAAAGAGAACTGGATTGCTGAATTGCTGCTTATTGTGATTAATAATACTTCAATGTGCCAATAACTTTAACTAGAACAGCAAAGTTTAAGAAATGTAACACTTTTTAGAATATCGATTTTTAAAATTTGTTTATCGATGCTAATCGCCAGAAGATAGAATCGCGATTCATATGTGAATCGATTTTTCCCCCACCCATAGTTTACGTTTACGACATAAAAAAATGTGGATGGTGGCCACATGCAACAGCAAAGGCCATTGGAAAGATTGACAAAGCCCCATAAAACGGATTTCTCTCCATTAATTAATTAATTCAAAGACAAACCTTTCTATGAATAAACATGCATATCTTTAGGACATTGTGCGTATTATTACTGTTTTGCATATTGCCATTTGTATTGTATACTGTTTTATGCATGCCTGATAGAACTACTAATTAATGAAACCTCATCTATATCATGCTTGATATCAAAATATCACATTGGTTTACATCACCTCCTCATAGCATGTATTGTATGCTTGTTTTATTAATTCAGAGAATGAAGGGACACAAAACTGCCAGCCCACTCTGATTATCCAAAAGAGACCGCTTCTAAACGAAGGAACTTTTTCCACTTCAAAATAACTCGTTTCTCAGTGGGTCAAGCCAAACTCGAGAGGTGTGACCTCTGTGGAAGTTAAAGTCCCCCTGTAGTCAATAATTTTATCCCTTAAAACTCATCTTTGATCACCAAAATTACATATTTAATCGTTTTTTCTTTAGTATACGTGGATCCATGAATATGCTAATTAGCCCCGCCTCCACTCATGCCAGCTCACGGATTCACTCGGCTAACTTACTGAGGTAAACGCTACACAAAGGTATCGCTCTTTCCAAACGTCGGGAACATAACAGTAATTAATATTATAAGCCTTTTGCTTGACTATTTTATCAAACAGCTAATAATGTGTTGCTAATGTTACACAAACTATGTTCCCATTCGCCATCTCAGTCTGCCTTCTAACAATCATCAGAAACGCTTTGAACAACTCCGAACGCCAGTGGAGAAAGGCATATAGTTCATCATAACTTCGTAATAAACATCATACACTCGCTATATTGCTAAATCTACCCGATTTGTCCAACGCATTCTCATCCTTTGGCGTCATATAGGTGACGCCATATGACATTTCGTTGAAATCTTACGCACATGGCATCCTTTAGCGTCAATATAACACGCACTGTTATGGGTAGGTTTAGGTCTGGGGTAGGGTACGGTTATGACGCCTTGGGTTCTGCGTCTCATATTGATGCTAAAGGATGCCATGTGCGTAAGATTTCAACGAAATGTCCAAAGCGTCAAATGTATGACGCCAAAGGATGAGAACGGGCTGGATTTTTCATATCAACAAAAAAATATATACCAGGTTAACTTGGCATCTCTCGAGACTCCCCTGCTAGTTCGTTGTTAATTATATGCTAAAGCTCGCCAGGACGTTGACGTGATGGGTTACAAGGTAGTTTGTGACGTCAGTAACACCACCGATTTCAAACCGCGTTTTTGAGACTTGTCTTTTTTTTTTTTTAATGCAGTTTCAGTTTTGTGCACATGGTTTGTCTCAAAGCACATTAAAAACACTACATAGACATATAACAACATAAAAAAAAAAAATTTCACCACAGGGGGACTTTAAAGGGCACTATCTCAGTGAAATCACCAAAATTGGTCATCTTTGGACAGCCCGAAATTGTACAATGTGTACCAGGCATTAAACCTGGAAGAACCTGTTGCAGCATCACCACTTTCTTCTGAGACTGCATATTCGGACGTTCGTTCAACGGCTAAGGGATTGTGCAAGTATCGTACATTTAAACTAACTAAACAGAGATTTAGTATAAGCTCATATAACCCTTTTTTACCAAGGTGCTGATGGTTCTGTTCAGGTGGTTAACTAACTCTGACGTTTCCAAAGCCTCATTTCCCTGTTCCTGTTTCCTTCATTCATTTTCACTCTCCATGTACCCATGTATGCGTGAGCTCGGAGTTTGGCCCGAACCCAGAGTACTCCCCCCTATGTAAGTGTTTAGGACTGGAAGTGTGGAGAAGGGACAGTGGAGGGATGCTGCTAAACTATCAATGGAGTGAGGTGAGATTGCTGAATCTATATACACCTCTTATCATTGATTGCTGAGTGCACTCCACTCGTGTTAATTAACTGAACGTGCTCCTCCCAAACTTTGTTAATAAAACATCATATGTTTAGACTAGTTATGTGTTTGTTATTTAGTTAAATAAAACTTTTGTGCACATTCATTGGAGTCTTGAATTCTGTGGTCACTGCTTGCAAAACAAAGTCCCCCTAATGATGCGATTACAGCTACATGCTCTTGACACAGTTTATGAGAATGACCCAGTTATTGCTGAAAATTCAGGGGCTTAAAACATACATTTACAGAACTGCATCAACTTGTGTAAGAACACACAGTGGCAACCCTCTCATCTAACCTTTGTCCAGCCAGTGTTTGACATCTTGCTGCCGTGTGTACACAAGGTCCCGTGCATCCCCGCAGACATTATGTATGTGAGTACTGAGGTGCCAGGAGCGACTCATGTTGAGCACCGCGTTCATAGTGAACTGTTCCACACCACGTCTCTCCTCCGCACTCCGCACCAAATGAGGGTTTTTCTGTTGAGTTCAAACAACAATCATAAGAACAGTCATACGGTTAATACTTTGATAATAATACACAATACCTAAGAGTACTAACAATACACCATCAATGGTTCAATACTTGTGTAGCTTGTGGCTTTACTTTAAAATGAATGTGTATGCCTGCGCAATGCCTTGTCCCAAGACTTTTTCATTTTTGGGGGGTAAACTGTCCCTTTAAGCCTGGACCTAAGTTAGCCTAAGCTGGTCTTTTCAGCAAGGTGCCACAGATGGTGCTTTATTTATCTTTTAAATTTGGACCTGTCTGAGTTTAGCCATGGCTTCACTGGGGATGAGCTCTCCATGGTCCAAATGTGAGATGAAGCAGAGGGCCTGGTACTGTGATTGGCCCTTCTCTGGCTCCCCAAGCACCAGGGCATGAAAGATCTTCACACGCTATTAGAAAAAAACAAAAAAGAAAATGTGAGCATAGACACAGTCACAAGATAAACCTACATTTTAAAGGAATAGTTCACTTCAAAATTAAAATTCTGTCATCTATTACTCACCCTCAAGTTGTTTCAACCCTGTATGAAGTTCTTCTGCGGAACACAAAAGAAGATATTTTGGAGAATGTTGGTAACCAGACAGTTGATGTACTTGTAATCCATTGACTTCCATAGTAGGAAAAAAATACAATGGAAGTCAATGGCATTCATCAACTGTTTGGTTACCGACATTCTTCAAAATATCTTCTTTTGTGTTCCGCAGAAGAAATTCAAACAGGTTTGGAACAACTTGAGGGTGAGCAAATGATGACAGAATGTACATTTTGAAGTGAACTAATCATTTAACAATGAATTAGGGGGATATTATTATCATGATGTTTTTCCTATGAAACTCTAGGACATGCAAATTAGAAGAACAGGGAGGCATACATATACAGACAAACATTATTGTCTAGTAAAAATATATAATCCTTACACAATATTAATTTACTTGGGATCCAATGTAAGATAAGAATATATGTTAACGTTAGTTGATTTTCTTTTAAAAGTATAAACCTCTAACATGTTGCAGTGCTGACATACAGTCTTCCACTAAAGGCCAGTTCACACCAAGGACAATAACTATAACGATAACGATAAAGACATAGTTCTAAAAATTGTTCTAAATATGAAAGAATAGTAGAGTTCACACAACAACTACAATGATAGTGGCACAGATAAGCGATAACATTGGAAGCACTTTTTTAGAGCCATTTTTTCCCAGCTTATGAGCGATAAAAACATTGACAGCCAATCAGAATCCGTCCTGCTTTAAATAGCTCGAGCATTAAAAACGGCTGGATAAACAGAATGACATCATCTGCTGGTGTGGATGCTGATAAAGTTATCATTATAGTTAATGTTCGTGGTGTGTGAATGGGCCTTAACACTGGTAACCTTTGTAAATACTGAGAAAAACAGGCTGGGGAAAACTTAATTGCAGTTTATAATGTGTATATATATATATATATATATATATATATGCTCAACGGCCACTTTATTAGGTACACTTGTTCAAATGCTTGTTAATGCAAACACCTAATTAGCCAATCACATGGCAGCAACTCTATGCATTTAGGCATGTAGACATGTAGACATGGTCAAGACGCTCTGCTGAAGTTCAAACTAAACATCAGTATGAAGAAAAAAGCTGATTTAAGGGACTTTGATCTTGGCATGGTTGTTGGTGCCAGTATTTGAGTGTTTCCGAAACTGCTTATTTACTGGGAATTTCATTTTTCAAAATATCCAGTGAGCGGCAGTTCTGAGGGCGAAAATGCCTTGTTGATGCCAGAGGAAAATGGCCAGACTAGTTCGAACTGAGGCAACAGTAACTCAAATAACCCCTCATTACCGTCTGCAGAAGAGCATCTCTGAACGCACAACTTATCAAACCTTGAAGAAGATGGGCTACAGCAGCATAAGACACACTGGTGCCAGTCCTGTCAGATAAGAGGGTACTATTTACACAGGCTCACCAAAATTGGACAATAGAAAGTTTGAAAAATATTGCATGGTCTGATGAGTCGATTTCTGCTGCGACAATAGCCGCTTTCCGACCAAGTAGTTACAGGAACTTAGTTATAGGAACTGTCCACTTCTAAACAGTTCTAAGAACTACTCTCCCCCAAACTCGGTTCCCTTATCGAGTCGGTCTCTCGACATTACGTATGGGGAAATCCATTTCTCCTCAAATTATGAAGTCTGATTTGAATAACTCTTTTGCTTGCAAATAGCCAATGGCGATCCCGCCATCACCTGATTGGCTGACACTCCTCAATATAGGTGACGGCGGGTGCCAAAAACCTCAGAATCTTTTTTCTTCACTCGAGTCTGTTTCACCGTTGATGTACACATTCAGAGCGGAATATAGTAAGGAGTTTCCCCTCTCGCGTTCCGGTGGATTATATTAATATGTCTCTTTGCCGCATGTGTGGTGGACCCATCGATTTCCCGGACGCACACGAGAACTGTGTGCTGTGCCTGGGCCGGGCCCACGCGGAGGCGGCGCTCGAGGGATTGGGATGTCGTGCCTGTGAGGAGCTTCCCATCAAGATCCTTCGTGCAAGGCTGGCAGTTACACGTAATGACGGCCTTGTGTCTCCTGCCTCTCCCCAGTCTGCCGCCGTCGAGCCGCGGACCGGGAGACGGCAGAGAACCCCATCCGTGGATTCTGTCGAGGCTCTGACGTCGGCCCAACACCCACGCCATCCTCAAGCGGCAGAGCCCCTAACTTACTCTGAGGCCTGTTACCGCCCTCCTAAGGAAGCGCGGGAAATAGTCTTATTTGGATATGACGATGACGACGCCATGTCTACCAGTGCCTCCGACCCAGGAGCGTGGTCCGAGTCCCCATCTGAAGGCGCCCCCGCCTCTTTGGATGCGGAGCTTATGGCCATCCTCACTGAGACTGTGGCGGATATGGAGCTGGAGTGGACAGCGCCCAAGGAGCTACCGTCTAAGAGATGGATGGTTCCTTCCTCGGCGCGGGCCGTCAGGCTGAAGCCCCGCGGAGACCCGCCCCCTTTTTCCCGCCCCCTTTTTACGAGGAGCTCACCAGATCATGGCGCTCCCCTTACTCAGCCCGAGCCCATGCACAAGGTACCCAGCTGCTGACTTCAGTGGAAGGGGCGGAGAAATTGGGGTACGCGCGATTGCCTCCCGTCGAGGATGCCATCGCGGCTCATCTAGCGTCTTCTCCCGGCTGGAAGACCGCCCAACTGCCTTCCAGGCCATGTCGCGCTACTGCCCACATGGCTGAGAAAGCGTACACTTCAGCTGGACAGGATGGGCGGGGATGCGCGATGCAGATAAAAGGCAGTTCCTGGACGCACCAGTAAGCCCTACGGGCCTTTTCGGTGTCGCGGTGGAGTCGTTATCCGACAAGTACGCCGAGACCGTCAAGCAATCCAGGATGATGCCTCATCTACTGCCGAAACGGTCTCAAGCCCCCCCTGCAGCGAGATCCAGATCTTCTTCTGCGCAGTATGTCCCCGGCGGGACATACCAGACGCGCGTCCCCGAGCGCGGCGGAGCGCCGCGAGCCAGAGCCTCCCTTCCGCCAGAGGCAGTTCAGGAAGCCCCGCTTTGGTGCGAAACCGGCCTCTAGCAGTCAAGGGCGCCCGGCGGGCAAAAAGGAGCAGCGTTCCTGATGTGAGTGTCGGGGAGGAGAGAGCGCGGGACGTGTTCGTCGGACCCGCTGCGAAGAGGGCGTGTTCCCACCCAGAGTTCGACGTGAATGTTTTGATTTTGAAACCGCTGTGTTCCGTTTCAATAAACAAAGTGCATTACATGTCTCAGCAAAAGAGCTTTCTTCCTCCCTACACTATTACCCGCGTCATAGGCGAGACCTCTCCCCCGGGAGACGTTTCGCAGAGCGGAAGCTCGGGGAAACCCGAGAAGGTGGCTATTTATGTCCCCGTGCGAAAGACCGCGGACGAGTCACCTCATGTAGCGGTCAATGCTTCCTCGGTGGCTGGCGTTCGGGTTGGCCCTGGCCCCCCGTGTTTTTACAATGTGCATGAATGCAGCGCTTGCTCTCCTGAAGCTCAGTGGAATGCGCATTCTGAACTATCTCGACGACTGGTTGGTCATCGCGCAGGTGGAGAGTGTCCTCGAGGAACACAAACACAGACTCCTCGCCCACCTGACAGGTCTGGGGCTGTCTGTGAACATGCAGAAGAGCGCGCTTCAACCGTGCCAGTCCATCACCTTCCTCGGTATGGTGCTGGACTCACGCGCTATGATCACAAAGCTGTCAGAGTCGAGAATCCAGTCAATTCAGGGTACATTAGCCCTATTCATTCAAGGCAGAGCCATCCCCTTGAAAACGTTTCAGAGGCTACTCGGTCTGATGGCAGCTGCAGCCTCCGTCTGCAGACTGGGCTTGTTGCACATGAGACCGCTTCAGCACTGGTTACAGAGACGAGTACAGTCGCGGGCGTGGGAAGCGGGAACGGAACACCTTATAACGCGTTCGTGTCTGGAGACTCTAGCGCCTTGGTTCGACACGACCATGTTCGAGCAGGGGGCTGCTTTGGGCAGAGTGGTCAGACGCGTAGTGGTCACTACGGATGGGTCACTGTCAGGCTGGGGAGCCCTCTGCGATGGCAGACCGGCATTCGGTACGTGGACAGGAGACCAGACGCGCTGGCATATAAACTGCTTGGAGATGGAAGCGGTTCGTCTAGCGCTGCAGGTTTTCCTCCCGTTTGTGAAAGACCGTCATGTTCTCATCAGGACGGACAACACAGCGGTGGTGGCGTACATAAATCGCCAGGGAGGTTTACGTTCGCGATCCCTTCAGGGGCTAGCGAGACGGTTGTTATTATGGACAGACAGAGTACTACAGTCGATTCGAGCAGCGCATGTGCCGGGCAGTTTGAATTACGGCGCGGACATGCTGTCCAGGGATGGCATTGTGCACGGGGAGTGGAGGCTTCATCCGCAGATGGTAAACATGATCTGGAATCTGTTTGGCAAAGCGGAGATCGACCTCTTTGCATCACAGGAGAACGCCCACTGCCCACTGTACTTTGCATTGACGACAGCCACTCTAGAGGGAGACGCACTGTCGAGCCGCTGGCCGAAGGGTCGGAAGTATGCTTTTCCTCCGATCAAACTAATGCCGCTGGTGCTGCAAAAGATCAGGGAGGAGAGATGTGCGTTGGTTCTGGTAGCGCCCAAATGGCCCAACCAGCCGTGGTTCCCGGAGCTAGTGAACATGGCGCGTTTTCCCCCGTGGCGGATACCGCCGAGAAGAGACCTCCTATCTCAGGCGAAGGGCACGATATGGCACCCCAACCCGGAGCTGTGGGACCTGCATGTGTGGCAGATCAGCGCGGAGTATCACAGAGAGTGCTGCAGACAATAGCAGAGGCTAGAGCCCCTTCGACGAGGCGCTTATACGCTCTGAAGTGGAAAGTATTCGCTAACTGGTGTGTTGACAAAAAGGAGGACCCCAGGAATTGCGATATTTCCATTATTTTGACCTTCCTACAGGAACGTCTGGATGTTGGCAGTTCGCCATCTACACTGAAAGTTTACGTAGCCGCTATTGCTGCTTTTCGTGATGTGTTGGATGGCCATTCAGTGGGGAAACACCCTTTGATAACGAGTTTCCTCCGGGGAGCGAGGCGGCTTCATCCCCCCCCCCCCCCCTTCGTCAGATGCCGGTCTGGGACCTGTCGTTAGTGCTTACTGCGCTGTCTGACCCACCTTTCGAACCAGCTGAGTCTAGCGACATTAAAGTACTCTCGTTCAAGACGGCGTTTCTGCTCGTGCTAGCCTGCGGGAAACGGGTGGGGGACTTGCATGCCCTGTCAGTAAACAATGCATGTATGCAGTTTGGACCGGACGATTGCATGGTCAGACTTTTGCCTAAGCGCGGATATTCGCCTAAAGTGCTCTCAACACCGTTTAGAGCCCAGGTGGTTACAATTCCAGCATTTTGCCCCGATGAGGACAGTGTCCCAGTGTCTCAGAAGCACGCTTTGTGCCCCGTGCGTGCCCTGCGTGCTTATGTGAACAGAACTAGTCATTTTCGAACTTCAGAGCAGCTCTTCGTCTGCTACGCGGGTGCCAAGAAAGGTGGCGCGCTGTCGAAACAGAGGCTATCACACTGGATAGTGGAGGCTGTGCGACTGGCTTATGCTTCTCGGGGAGCCGTTTGCCTTATAGGGGTGCACGCCCACTCCACTAGGAGTTTGGCGTCATCATGGGCATGGGCGAAAGGGATGTCTATTCAGGACATTTGTCTTGCGGCAGGCTGGTCGTCTCGTAATACGTTTGCGAGATTCTACAACTTGAATATTCCTTCATTCGCACCACATGTACTGTCAGTGTAGGGAGAGGGAGCTGAGCTGTCATTGGACTAGACTGCAGACACGCCCCGGCTGGCGTGCGCTCTAGCTGCGGTTTCGACCAAGTCTTGCAGACAGTGCAAGTTATTAGCAATAGCTATCATGCTCACTATATTTGTGTCCCTTTTTTTATGCCCGCATTCATAAGCCGGCAGTGTACTCCTAAGCACCAATCACATTGCTGCAATCCCCATTCACTTCAGTTCAGCGTTGCTTAACTATATGGGAGGGGCTACGTTGATGCGGGTGCCGACTTGGCTCTGTGCTAATAGGTGTTTCAACCAGGTCCGGTGCCTGATCCCGAGCTGTGTGAGGTAAGGACTAGTGCTCTGCTACTTAAGCTCGTTGTGAGCTGGGCAGACTTTTCCCACGCGGCGGGGGTTTTATTGTTCCCCATACGTAATGTCGAGAGACCGACTCGATAAGGGAACGTCTCTGGTTACTCACGTAACCGTAGTTCCCTGAGAGGAGGGAACGAGACATTACGTAACCTGCCGTGTGGGAAAGACTTAGTCTCTTTACTCTCGTTCAGCTAAGATTCTGAGGTTTTTGGCGCCCGCCGTCACCTATATTGAGGAGTGTCAGCCAATCAGGTGATGGCGGGATCGCCATTGGCTATTTGCAAGCAAAAGAGTTATTCAAATCAGACTTCATAATTCGAGGAGAAATGGATTTCCCCATACGTAATGTCTTGTTCCCTCCTCTCAGGGAACTACGGTTACGTGAGTAACCAGAGACGTTTTGCTGTTTGCGTTCGCACTGGCCAAGTGGCCATAGTAGGAGGGGTAAGGGAGTGACGCAAGCACGGCGGCGGCGGCGCCACATACAACAACAAACCAGCATGGAGGAGGCTATCGGAATGTTACTGTTCTGCCTTGCCGGGACCTTAATAACGGAGTACGAACGGCGGCGTTTAAAGATCTTGAGTTCTGTACAGAGAAACACAGAAGACGAAGGCTCCAGCGTAATATGATCTTAAGTAATATGATGGAAGAAGATAGAAGAGCAGAGCGCAGGAGGCAAACAAAACGGCGGGTAAGTTTAGCAAGCATTAGCAATTAGCTGGTTGAATGCGTTATGTTTGTCTTAAGTTATGAGTTAGCATAGCCTACATAGGCGAATTGCAACAGACAGTGATAAGTTGAACCAATCAACGTAGACCTAGGGAAAGGGAACTAAAAAAGTCCTCGCTCTAGACTAGGTACTGAAAGAGTTATAGGAACTACGGTCTGAGGAACTAAAAAATCCCCAACTTAGTCCGGTCGGAACACGCGAAAAAAAGGGTTATAGGAACGTTAGGTTCTAGGAACTGCAAAAGTCCCTCCGGTCGGAAAGCGGCTATTCAGATGGTGGGGTCTGAATCTGGTGTAAACAACATGAAAGCATGGATACATCCTGCCTTGTATCAACAACTTCAGGCTGCTGGTGGTGGTGTGATGTTATGAGTATATATTCTAAGCACACTTTGGTCCCCTTAGTACCAATTGAGTATTGTTTATATGCCACAGCCAACCTGAGTATTGTTGCTGACCATGTCCATCTTCTGATGGCTACTTCCAGAAGGATAACCAGTAAGTGATATACTATACAGAAAATCTCAATTTTCTAATCTTTATTTCATAGCAAAATGTAACTATATTATTGCTCAGCTCTTTATATACAAGTATGTCCAACTTTATCCACATATATCCTCAGTATAGATCTGCATTTATCCTCAACTTCTTGATTGCTTGTATTGCTGGCTGCTAAATGTAATCAACCAGCTCTAACCTGCTAAATGTGACTATAAGGAAAGATGTAAGATATTAAAAACATTAATATCTTGATTTTCAGTAAAGCTGCTTTGAAATAATGTGTATTGTAAAAAGTGATATATAATATAGAATAATATTTTGTGACATTCACATTAATTTTTAGCTTTAAAGCTGTTTAAATCATTTTCTTTTAAAAAGATTTTAGGGTTTATGGTGTTGTTATAAAAATGGATATAACTTATCTTGTGGCTACAATATTGAAACGGTATTTTAATGTTTACAAATTGGCCCCATTGTAAGTGCTTCACTGTAACCTTGTTGTGTTTATTAATTTAGAAAAAGACGAAGTGAAACTAATTTTGTAATAATCACCATTTTGCCTTTGCAAATGCATCCGTATCATTAACTTTCATACCCAGGTAATTAGTGTAATTAATTAATGTACCAAAAAGGATCAATTAATTGATTTATAATGTTTTATAATATATAAATATGGAGTCTATGAATGATGTTCCCTGCTCTGTGTTTCTTTGGCTGCTTTGCATAATGCCTGATGTTTCCCCATACAGCCCACAGCATGAATTTGGCTGCAAGACGTTCTGGCAAATGACAGCTTGATATCCTCCTATTTTCCCCGGAGGAAAAAAATTAAATAGGAAAAAATTTCATCCTGAAAAGTCTCTACATTTAATTAAGTATGTCTAGTGGGAAAAAATGCTGTCTCTTAGAGTGATGAAAGTCTAACAACTGTTTATATTTGGCTAAAATATAATCCTGAAAATTATTTGCATCAACACAAACAGACACATCTGTTAGAGAGTTCAATATCTGACACTGCCACTTTAAAGTTCTTTCAAACGTTTAAAATAACATTCATAAAGAGCTAATTACACGTGTCTGATTCATAAAAGTAATATGATCTGATCACACTATGTAAAAAAGTAAAAGCATTTCAGATGCTTTTACTAAGCTCAGTTATTTAACCAAATCAAACCAAATGATTCAAGCAGTGCTATCGAATCACAAATTATGTTTTATTAACAAATTTTGGTAGAAGCACGTTCAGAACCCAATCATTATGACTTTATAAGATGACAAGTGTTATCTCTTATTATATAGGTATGTTAGAAAGGGTAGTTTATGCCTGTGACACGTTTATGTGTCTGTCTCTGTTAAACAGAGAATGTTTTATTAGTTACAGTATTTTTTTAAATGTTTATATTATGTATTATCTCAGGACAGTGCAATACTCCTAGGTAATCATCTTTATTGTGTTTGTTTGTTGTAGGTTTATACTGTTCTTCGTTTACTGTACCTTCTCAAAGTCTATTTGTGTATAGTTTTGTTAGTTCTTCTTTTATGTTAACTGTTAACTAATTTTGACTCAATGAGCTTTGCTACCAAAATTCCTATGTACTTGTACTAGCTGTATGGTACAAAATAAAAAGTACCAAAAAAACTCAACTTGTGGTAGGCTACCATGGTGCAGTGTTGTTATCAGATGTTACCATGGGACTTACAGTCCCATGATAGAGAATGATGCTATAAAGATTTTACCCTGATTTTAGAAATTAGTTTACCCTGATACTAAACCAAACAAACAAACAAACAAACAAAAATTTCACTTACGAAAACTACCAAAAAGTATCATGGTACCACTATGTTGTTTAGAATGTATGATGGTATTTGGAAATACCTTGGTCCTTGCATGGAACAGGCACCAGATAGGATAGTAATACCATGGTACTCTAATATAACATGACAGTGAAATACATATACCATGGTTGGTGTTTACTCCAAGGTGCTTCCAAGAAGCATACAATAGTGCACCCAAAAAACACATAGGCCTAATTGTTACACTCTCTTGACTTCATGTTTTCTTTCCAGACAGTGATCCCATCCACTGGTATTTAAAAGTGCATTATTTTCAGTTATACAGCTGTGGTTGAATTCTATTTAGTTGTATTTATACTCACGCGCTTGAAATCAGACAGGAATGTGATGAGAGTCCCGTCTGCCTGCTTGAACTCCACTGTTATAATGTCCTTCTTACTATCCGCCTCTAACAGCTCCTCCGTTATTTGACCATCGTTGAGACGAACAAGCACCGTCAACTGTGAGCAAACACTTACCGAAAATACCAGAGTAAACACGACAAACGCTATCTGGACTGAAGCCGGTAGAGTCACTCTCGCGTTCATTACAAAACAAAGCACCAAGGATGCAAACTCATTTAACACAACAATGGGACATAGCGTCAAAGTAAATTACTTTAAACAAAACTGTGGACAGCGAATGCAAACTACTGTTTAAGAGAGAGGTAATGTCCGTTAATAAAATAAGCGAGTTGGTAAACTAACGTTAGGCTACAGGCTTTCTGCAGCTCGATGATGATCGCGAACTATTTGCGCTTCTATCAAAAATTGAATTTTTCCTATTTCTTTTGCCTATATTCGGAAAACACAATTAATTATACACGAAAAGTTTTCTTCTAGAAATTCTTCACTGCGTATAGTTTTTTTTTTTTTTTTGTAACTCTAAAAGCTCCTGTATTCCCCGTCACTTCCTCTGAACTTCAGTAATTTGGCTGAAGGCGCCTCGGGCTCCCAACACTGCATGGGGCCACTTCTTAAAGACACAGCCTCAGATTTCAAGACTTAAAACCTCTTAGGCCTACTGGATTCACAAATGTGGTGCATGCACATTGTTTTATATTGTAATAAAATATAATTTTAAATTATTTTTCTTTATTTAGTTTAAATAAAGCAGGTTTTTCATTTCATTTTTTTTGCTGCATTACACACTTAACAGAGTAATGTTATTAAGTTAACATCCTGTAATAAGGGGACACAATGGGGGAAATTTAATTTTTTTTCCTGAGAAGAACCCATTATATTAAGCTTCTGTTTAATGACCAGACTCATTATTTTAAGAAGTTAGTGCCATTATTCAGATTTCATAACCAGTAGAAGCTTGACCCTTAATAATAATAATAATAATATATATATTTTTTTTATTATTGTTATCAAGGTAATTAGCTCTTTTATTTATTAAAATAGCTATTTGTTTTCCAAATTCTTTTAAAATCATGATTAAAAAAAATTCTAATTCACAGACTTGCCAACATTAAGACAAGGGACATTATCAATATCTACCACTTACACCATTTTTTTTTTAATTCTGTCATTTACTCACCCTCATGTCGTTCCAAACCCATAAGACTTTGGTTAATCTTCGAAACACAAATTAAGATATTTTAGGTTTCTGTCCCTCCATTATAAGTCTATATAACCAACACTGAGGCATTTTACACATAAAATCTAGGATTGTATTCACATATACATACATAGAGTGCATCACATGGTAAACATAGAAGGCAGTGCGTTTCATATGCGTGCATAATGCACTAAAACCAACCTCATGGTGCTCGTGCATCACACACACGCATGTTTTAGCTTCCATGTTTACCATATCTGATGTGCTCGATGTATGTGTATCAATCATTGTTTAGATGTAAAATAAAAGCCTAAATTAAATCTGTTTATCATATAAAATTATCATATCTCTTCACAAGACTTGGATTAATCTGCTCGATTCATATGGATTCGTTTTACGACGCCTTTATGACCTTTTTGGATCTTATAATTTTTGTTTATCTGGACTTTCATTGGAGGGACAGAAACCTCACAGGTTTAATTAAAAATGGCGTCATTTGTATTTTAAAGATTAACCAAAGTCTTCTGGGTTTGGAATGACATGATTTTTTGGGGAACTATCCCTTTAAAGTCATCATGAGATCAAAATTGACCCTATTTAATTTGTTAGCGTGTATAGTCTTGTGGTGAACATTATTTTTTTTTTTTGTGGTAATCTTTAGTCAAAATCTGAAAATTTGCTTCCGTTCTGGAATGGCGTTCCTTCACTGATGACATCAGTTTGACGGCTTGGGTTGAAAACGCTTAACCACTCCCCTCCAAACACACTAGAAGAAAGAAATGTTTTAAAATTAAATGTTTTTTCACACTATAAAAATATTTACTTAACTGTAACCTGTTAACATGGGCAACAAAAAAATATGAATTTCTATAGTGTTAAAAAGGCCTGAGCCTCACATCAGATGCAGCAGGACGCCAGAATCCTGAACTTTAACCTTTTGAACTTCTCACCACTTATTGTAAGCTTGCATTAAACACGCATTCCTGGAATGCACTATAATTCACTATAATAATGTGAAAGAAGACAGCAGCACACCAGATTATTATGAATCTATAGCAAAACTGATTAAAATAAGATTGAAGATAAAACAGAAAACTGACTGTCCAGTTTTGCAGAAAGCCAATATTTATGAGCACTATAGCCTCAACTCCTTCTAATGGCTTTCCACGCACAGGCTCACATATTTATATCAGATTAATCTACAGCATACCTCTCTAATTTATGACATAACGTCATGATAGCTTGAGCTGTGAAAAACATGCCCTGGCTTGTAAAGTGCTCCCACCGAGCAACTTATGACCTGTGACCCCTGCAAACTGTGAGGTTTAGGGAGATATTTACCCTCCCTCACTACAGCCTCATGAATTCGTGAATCTCCAGACTCTCTGGAGTCATTCGAAATGAGGTTCCCCTCAGAGCAGAGACTTTAACTGCCGGCAGGGGATTCAGACAAGTGGCCTGAAACTAAAGGCATGAATCACTCAATGGAGAATGTAATTCTTCAGTTTATCCAATTCAAATGCTGGTTTGGTGATATGGTTAGGTTTAAGGGTGGGTGAAGGTGCACGGGATGGTTCAACAGTGTAAGTAAATACAGAAATGAATTACAGTTGTAATTACATGCAGGCATTTTTAAATACAAGTAAAATGTAAAACATACACAATAAGTGCACTGTATCAATTGATTATTTTAAAATCTTAGTACAGCCTATAGTCAAAGACACTTAAAGTGGGACCGATATTTCGGATGGTTTTCTAACTACTGTAGTTAAGGTCTAATAACCCTTTTGTATAATCAGGTCTCATCAACTTTGACATGTCTTATATATTTAATTGCATTTCTTGTTTGTTTTTCAAGGCAATAGGAAACATCATCATGTGTACAGTATGTGAAAAGTATTTAATTGCTTCTGAATCCTCTGCTGGGCAATAACAGAAGCATTTACAGTCCCCCTGTGTTGAAAATCAAGCTTTTAATGTTGTTTAAAACTGCAGTGAACTAAAGACAGTCTCAAAAACACGGTTTGAAATCATTTCTGATGATTCATAGTCATGCTAATTAGCATATTCATGTATCCGCGTATATTAAATGAAGCAAGGGTATAGAGTTATATTCAAGATATTTTAAGGCATGAATGAGTTTTAAGTTTTAAATGTGGGATACATTTATATTGGGGGGACTTTAAGTAAAGCTGTAAACCTGTGAATGGCTCTGGTGTAATAACTGTCACATCCAGATCCAGTGAGGACAGAGAGCAACAGACGTGTCTCTTGCACCTGCAGCCCTCAACAACACCTGTCTTTAAACAGGCGTCTCAGACACGTCGCCTTAGTAAAGGCCTTTCTTGAAACATGCCTCACTTTTTTTCACCGATTCATTTATTTTTTAAGATGCTCATCTAGAAATTCATCTTTAATAGTCATCTAATTTGAATGCTGAAATTTTTTACATTTCCATCAAAAAATAAAACACAACACCAATTTAGACGAGTTTCAAGATTAATGTATATTTTATTGATTTGAAATGTTTTTTTGTTCATTCTGTTACAATGCTTAACGTGTTTTCCTGAGGTAATTATAATTGCTTTGGTGAAGTCAGTTCCTGCAAAATTCACTCAGTGCCAGAATTAAAAACAATTTGTACCAAAGTACAAATCAGTTTTTGTGTTTTCATATAATGCCATTATCTGATCAAGCGTCTTCAAGTTACAAACCTTCTGAAAGGGATTTATTTTAGTCTAGCCTGTGACAATACATCAATATTTGAGGGTCAAGCACTTCATTTAAATAGTGCAAACATATCTGTGAAGAATAATTATACCACCAAAATCAACAGAATCAGTCATTTTGACTCCCTCACTACTACAGGCGACTGCCTTTTCTGGACATTCTTGATGTCTCAATACATAGAAGGGGGTCCAACACTTTCCTTCAGAAAAAGGGTGCTTGGAGAGCCCAAACAGTTCAAAACCTCAGTTTCAGGAAACTGGATCAGCCTGAGATCACTAGAGGAAGAGAATAGGATAGTGAGGCAAAAAGTTTCTGTTTTTTGTCCATGCAAACAGTCTGTTTCAGGATATGGACAAAAACAGTTGAAACACTTTTCAGATTATCTTTTTTTTGTGTGTGTTCCAGATAAAAACAAAATTATGTTTTGGGACACCATGAGGGTAAATGTGTAAATGATGACAGAATTTTCATGTTTGAGTTCCTATCCAATGAAGTTACGCAAAAGCAGGTCAGGAATGATGCAAGAAAGACAATTTTCTTTTTTAATAAATGGCGAGATTGAAAGTTTGCATACCATTAAATAAGCAGATTGCCTATTTCTTCTTTCCACCCAAAGACATGCTCTCTGTTTTCTTCTTCTGTACCTGATGCATCATGCAAAGGCAAAATAATAGTTCATCTGATTTGCATTCTGAAGGCTGTTTATAAAGTTTTAGGACTTCCTCTACATGCTCTTGTTACCTCCGACATGGCATCATCTATCTGCTTGAGCTCTTCATAGTGATCACGGGAGTCTCTCAAAGGTTGAACCATGATCTCCTCAATCTGTGGAAAGAGCTGAACACAGACACAGTCAGTCTCCATATCATTTCAGTTCAAAGTTCCAGTTCAAATGTCAGTGGGTATAATGGCCGTGCAAACCTTCATGACAGTCTCAAACATTGGGATGAGGACGAATTTAATGAAGCCAATTTGTGCCGTTGGTTTGGTGACTTTTTCACGATCCATAAACGGAGCCACAGGAAGACCTTCTGACTTTTCTCTGTCACTCTGCCAAAACAAACCAAAAAGCAAACTACAATGAGGCCCAAAAAGTCTGATAAAATCAAAATCTGCAAAAATAAATCGGAAATAGTCAGAATGTTATATGAATTTCTTTTTTTATTAAAATATTTTAATTATATACTTTAAGAAGAAGTCTCTTATTCTCACTAAGGCTGCATTTATTTGATAAAAAAAAAACAGTAATATTGTGAAATATTATTACAATTTAAAATAACTGTTTTCTATTTTATAATATATTTAAAAATGTAATTTATTCCTGTGATTGCAAAGCAGAATTTTCAGCATCATTACTCCAGTCTTCAGTGTCACATGATCCTTCAAAAAACTATCTAATAGGCTGATTTTAACATTGCTTGTTTTATTTAGTTTTTTATTTCAGTTATTGTTTATTTTATTTTAATTAATGTACACGTTTTTTATGGTTTTAGTTTTAGTTAACATAATAAAGAGATACCTGCATGAAGTACTCCTCCAGGAGACAGTCCACCCATGGCTCGGCCACCTCAGTGGGTCTGACCTCGTTGGAGATGTCACAACACTTGATCAAGACCATCTTCAGCTGGAAAGACAGAATTGAGTATACAATAGAGCCAACAAGCACAACAAAGCTATTTAAATCATAATAGCAAGAAACACATACGCATTTAACATGCTCCTCATTTGAAAAGTCAAAGTTGTCCACTTTCTGTTTGAAGGAGTCCAGTATCTCTCCATGCCTGGCCATATCCGTCGCCAGAATAAGAGTAATGATCGCCTAGAGCAGACACAAAAAATACATCCAGGATTGTTTAAAATGGTCAGCAGGATTTTGACTACACTCTTTAACATAAAGGTTCCAAAAGCTGTTTCCAAAAGATCCATTTCGTAAAGAACATTTTAATAATCTGAAGAACCTTTTTCCACTTTTGTGCAATGGAAATGTTTCATGAATGTTAAAGGTTCTTTATGGATCTACTGATGCCAATGAAGAACCTTTATTTTAAAGAGTGTCCAATGCAAAGAAGCAAATTTCTACAGATTGATTTAAAAGTGCTCTACTGTGAATATACTGTGAATGTAATATACTGTAGACTGTCTGCAAATGTCCCACTTCCAATTTTAGAAGAAGTGTTGAAAACGAAGTTGATACTTAAATGAAACATACACTATAGTTTGGGGTCAGTAAGACATTTTACTACTTTTTTTGCTAAATAAAACATAATACCTTTTTACGCATGTGCTTAAAGGCCTTAAAGTGTCTGAACCCCTATAATTGCTGCTCGCAGAATACTTTTGTTCAGTAAGGATGCATTTAACTGATCAAAAGGCAGGAGATATTTTTACTTTGTTTCTAGAAAAATTATATTTCAAATAAATGCTGCTTTTTATTCATCAAAGAATCCTGAAAAAAATTAAACATGGTTTGGTATCCAGCAAAGTAATAAACAGCACAATGTTATAATAATAATAAATGTTTCTAGAGCACCAAATCAGCACATTAGAATAATTTCTGAAGACTGGAGTAATGATGCTGAAAATTCAGTTTAGCCATCACAGGAATAAAGTACATTTTGAGAAAATATTGAATTGGAAACTGTTATTTTAAATGGTAATAATATTTCACAAAATTACTATGCTTTCTATATTTTTGATCAAATAAATGCAGCCTTGGTGAGCAACTTTCAAAAACATAAAAAAATCTGTCAACACTTTATTTCGATGGTCCTCCAACAGACATTTGACTGACTATAAGTAACTGCAACTACATGTCAACTTATTCTACTAACCTGAACCCAAATACCTAACCATAACCAAACAGTCTACTAGTACTAATGAGAGTTAGTTGACATGTAGTTGCAAAGTTAGTTAGTTAGTAGAACGTCTAAAGTGGACGATTGAAATAAAGTGTAACCGAAAATCTTACCAAACTTTTGAATAGTGGCGTAACTGGTTTCATGAAGCTATAAAAAAACAACCTTTGAGCAAAACATTGTTCCTCTGGATAGAAACTGCATCTGCAACATGATGTGTGTGTGTGTGTGTGTGTGTGGGATCAGAGGTACCTGTCGTAACTGTTTGAAGGAGTCAGGCTCTATATTGGCGAATATGTTGCACTCGGGCATGGAGAGGATCTGGAAGGCCACAGCACAATGATGGTTCTCCAGTGGAGAGATGTCATTATAGCGCACAGCCAGCTCAGTGCGAGCATTAATCTGATACCTGATTACAGAACCATAGAGGGCAAAACCTTGATCACTTCCTACTGTATAAAAAAAAAAACACATTAAACTACCAAGCTAACTGGGAATGTTCTCAGAACTTTAGCTAACGTTGTGGCGAGGCACTCTCAAAGTTATGAACAAATGTACTTCCAGTAACGTTAATAAAACAATAGGTCAAAGTTATCTGGTCTTTACAAATGTTTTCAAAATGTGAGCACAAGAAAACATGATTTATACATTGTTCATGGAACGTTTTTACCTAAAATGTTTAGTTGGAGGTTCACCAAATGTTTTTTAAATGCTACTTGTTTCAGAACATTCAGAGAAAAGTAACGTTCCCATTACACTGTAAAAATCTTAACTCATCATATATATACATATATGTATGTATATATGTATATATATATACATATGCAGCGCTGGGTAATTACTTACAAATTGTATTCAGTTACTGATTCCAAATTGCATGACAAATATTGTATTTAGTAGTTTAATCACATTACATTGCACATTTAAGGTAATGTAATCTGACTACTTTTTGATTACTTTTAGATTACTTTTGTAATTATCACATTGATTTGAAAAGGATAATCTTGTGTAACATATTGGTCTAAAAATACGAAGAGAAAGAAAATATAGTCCATTTTTTGTTATTAACAGTGCATTAAATATTACATTACGTCTGGGTTTCATGATGGAACTGCAGGGCGTTTGTGAGTTTAATGAAAAGCTATTAAGTACATTTTTTAAAATAAAATAATTAAAAATAAAAACAATCAGAAAAAAATGCTTACTAAATATATACTATTTTTGTTTAAATAAAATAATTTTAAAATAAAAACAATCAGAAAAAAAATGCTTACTAAATATATACTAAAATATATTTTATTTGTTTACCTGCATGTCATGTGACCATTAACCAACAACAGAGAGCCGTGAACTTAATTTCATTATTTATTTATTTATATTATTATTGACTTAATTTTATTACTGACCTAACTTTTTAACTTAATATATCTACTTCAAGTACCCCCTGAGATTTTTTGTCAAAAGGGTTCAGCTGACAAAATATTTGGGGAATCCCTGCATTGCATGTAAATATGAAATGACGTAAATCTGTATATTTTAATATGTTTGAAAGACAAAAGCCTTCCAAAGACAGTAATGCATGGTTAAATGACTATCTGAGGGATAATTCAAATAATAATTAATGTGTTTGTCAAGAGCTGATTAGATATGCAATGTTTCAATGTTGAGAAAACACTTCTTAAAACTGAAATGATTTCTCATTTGAAAGGATCAAAAGCTGTCTGGGTCTTAGATTTCAGTGATAAGCACATGACTAGTGGCTAAGTAAGGGATAATCAATCAATAATTTACTGCCATGAGAAAAATATGTAATCAGTAAAAAAGTAACTGTAGTCTGATTATGAGTATTTTATAATATAATATAATTACAAGTACTTATTTTTTGGAATCTGATTAATCCAGATGACATGTAATCAGTTACTACACAGCACATGTATGTATGTATTTTTTTGCATGGGCTTTTTTAAGTTTAACTTAAATACATTGGACAAATCAATTGATCAAACACAGTAAATTAAGTTTAGTTTACTAAAATCAAAAAAGTTTTTTACAGTTGGCAAAATACACAGTGTTGTCAGTGGTATTGTTCTCTGAGAGGGTGACATACGTGTTGTTGTATCCCGGGTGGTCCAGGTCATGACACACTGCTGCGGTCACCAAAATACACATGTCTGTCATAGTCAGCCTCTCCTTAAGAACAAAAACAAGTAGCATGTTGATCTGACAAACACACACAAGCACTGTCTCTATAGGACAGATACATGTGTCACCATGACCTCACCTTAAGGTTACACAGATGGATCATTCCATACATCATCTGGCTCACGCAAAAACAGTGACGGAAGTTGTGGAAAGGGTTGTCGCGGTAGTTTTCTTGAATCGCCAGCTTTGATTGGGCAGAGACACAGCATGAGTTTTGAGGCCTACTTCAGTTAATAAGCAGGTCACAGAAAGCTCATCTTACCAGCCATCTTTTGAGAGTTATGGGGTTCATGTTAAATTCCTTAACCAGCCCAAGGTCATGATACATATACTCCAGACAGCTAAGCATCTGTAAACAGCCAATTAACAAACAAACAAACAAACAAACAAACAAACAAACAAACACATCACTCCTGTAGGCCTATGTCTGATATAACAACTAATGAACTAAAACCACAAACTGAAACTAAAAACCTAAACATATTTATCAGTAGCAATAATTAGAAATCTTTAAGTTAAAATTTACTTGGAATATGGAATTAAGTAAACTTTACTTAACCTAGTTAAGTGAAAGTAACAAAGAAAATTAGTAATTTTAACTTGGCTAGTAAAAGGTTGATTAATATCGATTTAGTTGAAATTTCCTTTGCATTACATTTCACTCAAACAATTTTATTGAATTATACCAGTCATTTATAGTATGTGTTTTACTTAGAATATCTAAGTAATTTATACTTCATCATGTCAGATGTTAACCCTCTACCGCATGGTGTTGCCATATGGCAACATACTCTTTGTGTTCATTTCATTGCCAATGTTTCTTTAAGAAAACATTCTCGTGTTTTTTGTTGGAATGAGAAGACCTTAGTTTAGCCAATGATGTGCTTTGGTTAAGTCACATGACATGCAATTTTTTTCTGTGGCGCGATTTTTGACAGACTGCAGTCTCTTGTCTCTTGTCGGTAGTGATGGGCAGATCGAGGCTTCGTGAAGCAATGAAACAGTTGAACCAAATGGTTCATATTGTTTCGAGGCTTCGAATCAATCCGACACCCGTCTCCACTGTGACACCTAGTGGTCACTTGCAGGTGTTGATCTGAAACAACCTTGACGAGCCATTAAAAATTTTTGTTTTTTTATTATTGTTCTTTTCTAATATGTGAATCTTGCAACCTATAGCCCCCTCACTGTGCATAATGTTATTTTGGTCCTGCAAAATGAATATTAATAAAATAAATCAAGCCACAATGTCTCACTTTTTTTTTTTTTTTTTTACATATTTTTATTCAAAAATATTAATTTCTCTGCTGTGGAAGGACTTAGCCTACTTCTTTTTTTACAGATAATTTCTCCAGCCTTTGAAAAAAATCCTCTCACAAGGGACACTTGTTGCTGCATGCAAAGATATTTTTTAGCTAATACATACAAATGAGGAAAGATTACTGCTCTCTCGTCTCTTTCCAGTAAGTTAGTGGATCATGAGTTCTGGGCAAATACGCATCGTTGATGTATTTTTTTCACTTCCACTGTGGCATCAGCTGTAGCACTGTGTATCATCTGGGTTTGATGGATACGAGTATCAAAAAGTTCCCATAAACTGTCCTGTGTTTCTACTGGATGATGTATTGTTGCAGTAGGCGAGCTGCGATCACAATACACACATCTCACTTTATTTGGGGTTTCTAAATGGAAATGCTCCCACACCACAGATGTACGGCATCTCTTCTGGGGAGCCTCCATTTTATCTATATATCCAAATCTATCTAGATATGTATCTCTAATCTATCTATGTAATTAGATATATGTATCTACAATCTATCTATGTATGTAGATATGTATATATAATATGTATCTATAATCTATGTATTTAGATATGTATCTATACTCTATGTAGGCTATCTATAATCTATGTATTTGGATATGTATCTATAAATGTATCTATAATCTATCTATGTATTTATATTATGTAGCCTATCTTTAATCTATCTGTATCTATATATCTATTAATCTAGCTGTCTATATATATTTATATGTATCTATTAATGTGTCACTATATGTATACTCTGTGTCTCTAGCCTGTTAGTCAATGTGTTGTGTACATTTAAGCCTAAATATAACTAAACAAATCGCACAACAAATGTCACTATATCACCAAAAATCCGCTATCTCAAAATCAAACTCCTCTCACAAAAACCCACGAGGTCAATATGCGTTGATTTCACTTTTATACAGATGTGCGATTGTGTGGTCTGTTGTTCCCGACCGTGTCAATCAAACGCTGATTCGGCGGATCACACCTGATGAAACACTGTGAAACACTTCGAGGCTTCGTTTGGCCATAGTCAAGTGATATGGGTGTTTTGAATCACGCTTCGAATCAGTGTTTCGAAACATCTGCGCTTCGGGATCTCGCAAAGCTTCGGAACGACTGTTTCGCGGCAGCCATCCCTACTTGTCGGTAGTTGCTGAAAGCAATCTAAAACGTCAGTAACAAACAAGGACCATCCCATATCACATACACAAAAAAAAAATTAAAACATCACCTCAAGTTAAGTTATGATGTCATATTCACCAAAAAAAAAGTTTTTATGAAATCAGTTTTTGGTAAATCGATCAAATTGTTGCCAAGCGGCAACACTGTGCAATAGTGGAATGACATTATTGCAAAAGTTTAGCTAGCTAGACAGGTCAGCTGCAATCTGTTAAGCTGTAACAATAACAACATTAATGCTAGTGATATAATGTTGATTAGTCATAGGTTAAGGACTGCCAATATGGAAAGCTGTTTGAACTTTTATTCATTTCCAGGATATGAATTCTTGATATCTATAATTGTATTTTCACTAGTAAAATGTCACCATAGGGTGCCATTCAAAATCAATTGTTGATATCAAAAATTGATTTCTTACTAGTAGAAATATAATTTTGATATCAATCATTTCTTGGTTAGTAAATATGTGAATTCCTGATATCAATAATTCAAATGTCACTAGTTGAAATGTCTATTCTTGATATCAACAATTTAATTGCTACCAATAAAAAAAATCAGTTTTGATATCTGAAAATCTGATACCAATATTATTTTAGATATCTAAAATGTCTAAAATTCTTACTAGTAACAATCACATTCATGATTTCAGAAATTAACATTGTCACTAGTGAAAATTTAATTATTGATATCAAAAATTGCCATTGTTATAGTAGAAATCTAATTCCTGATATCAAGAACTATCATTTTAACTAGTAAAAATGTAATTGTTGATATTAAGAATTAGTATCCTGGAAATAAATATAAAAGTTAAAACGGCTTGTCACACTGCCAATGCATTTGTAGGCTATTATGAAAAAAAAAAAAAATTTAAATGGCTTTTTTTTTTTTTTTTTTTATTCCACTGTTGTATGTTGTTGCCATATAAAATCACATTTTCTTTTTACAGCACTTCAAGCTTGCGCAGACCGAAGCGCCCGCGTCCTCAGATCACTTGGACGTGGCTGTGGTTACAAGAGGTAAAAACGATATAAATACTGTTCGTTTTCTCACACAAACCGCTCGTTTCGTGTCTTAGGCCATCAATGTGTACTTACATTTACGAGTCATTAAATCATGTTTAATTTGGACTTCTCTGTGCATGCTCTTTGAGGTGGTGACCATAGACCTGCATTATATGACTGACAGACAAGAACGGTTTGACCTAAAAATATCAAAATTGAAACTACTGCGGAAACAAAGTCACCTACATCTTGGATGCCCTTGAGGTAAGCTAAAACATACCAAAAATTAATTTCAAAGTGAACTATCCGTTTAAGGTATCTTAACACACAAAAAAGATGACAGACCTCATTGTGTTCCCAGTGCCATACATCAAAGGTGGGCTTTTTCAGAGCCTCTATGGTTTCCTGAGAAAGTGTGTACTGCACAAACACACAACAGAGTGAAAACACAACATTGAAACATCATTACAATGATTTCACATGGTTGCACTATGTATGCCAAAATACAAATGGTATTTATTTTGTTTGTTTTTACCTTTGGGTAGCTTGGGACATCTCGTCTGGGAGAGAGTTTCTTCCCATCATCAGTAAAGTTGTATTTGCAATTGCAGTTCACTCTGGTTGCAAGAGATAAACAAACAAATAAAAAATCCTATGGAATTACTGAAATGAAATGAAATGAAATAAAAAATAGGCGTCTATACCTTACTCCTCCTCTAGAGGTCATTTCATCTCTTAATTTCTTCAGATCGTTCTTACACTTCTCAATTTCCACCACTTTCAGTCCCTCCACTGTAACAATACAAAGACAATTAGTTTACAACATCCGGTTAGAGACCTTTCCCTCCACATCCAGATAAACAACACAGAGATTGCATTAGTCCCCAGATTCGTACGAATTTTACGAGGTGGCTAATTCGTACGAATTCATACGACCTCACTCGTACAAATTCGTACGATTTTTGCGAATTCGTACATATTTTACGAGTTACCAAATTCGTATGAATTCGAATGACCTACCCCTGACCCCGCCCCTAAACCTACCCATCACGTGGGTTTAGACAAATCGTACGAATTCGTACGAATTAGCCACCATTTAATCACTTGTACGAATTCGTACGAATTGGTCGTGAGATAGCGTTGGAATCACTCACGTTCCACTTTCTTCTCCAGCATGGCCAGCCTGTTGGTCACTTCAGTCTTCAGCTCATTGATCCTGAACGCCCTGAAAATGTTTTCATATTCGTGACAGTGCACATGTATTGTAATTTCACACACTAATTTGAATCATCATAGCATTTAGTTTACAGCTAATGCAGACAGTTTGACAGAACACGATATGTCTCACCTGCTGAACTGCTCAGCCACTTGTGACAGGACGTTCTGGAACATGTCTTCCTTCTCTTTTAAAGGGAATAAAAAAAGTGTGTATTTTTAGTGCACTGTCGGTTGCCTCATTTCTAATCCATTTTTTAGACACATATAATAGCCATGGCCTTTGACTAATTATGTAAAATTTCAAGAGTAAAACGTTTTCCAACCTCCTCCTTGGTTTGTGGAATGGGGCATAACCTTATATAAGTTGCTTGAAACAAACAAAGAAAGTAAAACACAAATTGCTTCTGAGTAATTGTATTATATGATTTATAGACTTTATTAAAGTTGTCACCATTATACCAATTTTGAATTCTTACTTTGGAGTGTTTGCAGGCATGGTAGGGTCAATAGATATAAATGCTCCTTCTGAGTCAATCAGAAGTATAGCTGTGTTTCTGAAGAGACATGAGCACAACATATTACAGTCACTTTTGGGACAATAATCTGCACTAAAAATTTTATGGAAATTCATACACTGCAAAAAAAGAAAAGAAAAAAAAGTATGCTTGCGAAGTATTTTTTGTCTTGTCTCCCATTAAAAATGCCTATAGAAACTAAAATATTGAATCCAATATTTGGTGATTATATAGCATAATGAGATTTATAAGCTATTTTTGTATACCATTCATTTTTGACTGGGAACAAAGGTGACACAAGGTTAAAAAAAGTCCCCAAAAAGTACAAAGATTATCCTACAAGTTTTGGGATGTAGTTATACCCTGTGTGAGCAAAGTCAAAAAGTTTTAGTCCAATGCGATAACATTAACTAACATTTTCGGGAAAAAGAAAATGATCTGAACACAACATGAGGGTGAAGAACAAACTTGTTTTGATACATTTTTCAGCAAACATGACGTAATATCTTAAGTCATTTTGCTTCTCAAGATTTAAGAATGTTTCAATATTTTTACTGGAAAACAAGACAAAAATACTGAGTCAGATAATCACTTTTTGCAGTGATACAATGATACTGACCTGGCAATATTGGATGATGAACAAAGAAGCTCCTTAATGTCACATGGACTACAGTGTCGACTAAAAATTACCTAAAGACATAAGAATTCATATTAAGGAAAAAGTAGAAGAATCAAAGAACATTATTGGGAATTAAGTTACTAACCCCATCAGTCATGTTAGCTGTGAGGCGATGATATATCATTTGCATTTTAAAAATATAAATGATTTCTGAAGGATCATGTGACACTGAAGACTGGAGTAATGATGCTGAAAATTCAGCTTTTAAATCATATTTAAATAGCCCATATTAAAATTGCTTATAATTAGGGGCCAAGCACCGAAGGTGCAGAGGCACCTATTGTATCTGTTGGTTTTCTTATTAGGGGCCAAGCACCGAAGGTGCAGAGGCACCTATTGTATCTGTTAGTTAGGGGCCAAGCACCGAAGGTGCAGAGGCACCTATTGTATCTGTTAGTTTTCTTATTATTATTATTAGGGGCCAAGCACCGAAGGTGCAGAGGCACCTATTGTATCTGTTAGTTTTCTTATTATTATTATTCTTCTTCTTCTTCTTCCGCAAATGGAAGTCTATGGCAGCCCTATGAACCGTACATAGGAAAATGATGAAATTTGGCACACTTGTAGTGATGCTAATGAATAGTAATTGGACCAATTTTTGACCCTCTAGGACCAACTCTATAGCGCCACCACCAGTTCAAAAATTCAACATTGAAATGGTTATAACTTTTGAACCCTTTGATCTAGAGACATGAAACTTAGTACACCTGATTCCTCTCATTGTGCTGATCACAACCAATACCTTACATTAAGACCCCGCCCATTACAGTAGTGGCCATTTTGAAATGTACAGTATTCAGTTATTTCGCTACTCCTCCTTCAAATTTTGTCCAATTTTCTCCAAACATGCACTCAAATGATCTTCAGACTGAGCCGCATAAAAGTACTGTTCCCGATTTTTTTGTTATACTGGAAAAAAAAAGTTATAATGTCGCAAACTTAAAAAGGTCCACCCAAAATTGGCTAAGAGGCTGTATCTCGGCCAAAGTTTGATCAATCGAAACGAAAATTGGTACACTTCATCGGAAGCATGTGTTGAGGTTCCAATGCAAAGTTGGGAATAGCGCCACCTATGGGTCATGAGATATGAACAATTGCTATTTTGACCAATAACTTTTGAACAGTTTGTCAGAAAATCATAATTGTGGTATCTATGGATTCCTTGCATCATGCCGAATCCGTGGATATCGATTTTGCCATGATGGGATGTACCACGTGTCCGCCATTTTGAATTTTGTCATAATTTGCAATATCTTTTAAACTATTTGAAATTTCCTCACCACATTTGGTATGGATCATCATTAGCATGGCCCGAAGCGACATGAGAAGTTTGATCACAGCGCCACCTAGTGTTCCAGAGATATCATTGTTTTTTGAAAAAACGCTTATAACTTTTGCTAACATTGCTTGAAATATGATTTCTCTATGCCAATAAATTCCTTGGCTTATGCCGATTTCAACGATATCTCATATGCCATTTTCCAACAATGTGACTGTCCGCCATATTGGAGCGAATGTAAAACAGTTTTTTCGCTACTCTTCCTTCAAAATTTGTCCAAAATTGTCCAAAATTTGCTCAAATGATCTTCGGACCGAGCCGCACAGAAGTACTGTTCCCGATTTTTTTGCTATATTGGGAAAAAAAAGTTATGATGTCGTAAATTTAACAAGTTCGACCCAACATTGGTTCAGAGGCTGTAACTTGTGAACAGTTTGTCACAAAATCATAAAATTGGTGTCTATCGATTCCTTGCATCATGTCGAATCCGATGATATCTATTTTGCCAGGATTGGATGTACCACGTCATAAGCTAAATTAGCATTAAGCTAGCTTAGCATGCTAATCTGGTTAACATGTCATGGAACTTTTTTGTGAACTCATTCTCACACTGAACCCTCTCCTCTGCTGTCTTGAAATTCACGTCCTCTGAGTGGCGCAATCAGCTAAACCATGCATCTCGAATCCCGAACCATTCTGGTCGTGGGTTCAAGTCCCATGTGGGATGACTATAAAGTTGTCATTTCAATTCCTTCCGGCTCTGCTCTGCTGTTGGTGCTTAAATGCTCGCTGTGCTTCATTTACATGTATATTCAATTTGTGCTGTTTTGGTTCTTGCGGCTCTGCACTGCTATTGGTGCTTAAATGCTTGATGCGCTGCTGTACTTGCAGTACTTGCTGTGCTTGCTGTGCTTGCAGTACTTGCTGTACTTGCTGTGTTTGCAGTACTTGCTGTACTTGCTGTGTTTGCTGTACTTGCAGTACTTGCTGTACTTGCAGCTTGCTGTACTTGCAGCTTGCTGTACTTGCAGTTTGCAGTACTTGTTCTGCTTGCGGTGCCAAGCCTTTGAACTTTGCTGTAATTGTTCTAATTGCGGTGCCAAGCCTTTGAACTTTGCTGTACTTGTTCTAATTGCGGTGCCAAGCCTTTGAACTTTGCTGTAATTGTTCTAATTGCGGTGCCTTGCAGGGCTTGGCCCCGTGTTGCTGCTTGCAGCTATATTTATTATTATTATTATTCTTCTTCCGCAAATGGAAGTCTATGGCAGCCCTATGAACCGTACATAGGAAAATGATGAAATTAGGCACACTTATAGTGATGGTCATGAAAAGTAATTGAGCCAAATATTGAGTCTCTAGAACCAACTCTATAGCGCCACCACCAGTTCAAAAATTCAACATTGAAATGGTTATAACTTTTGAACCCTTTGATCTAGAGACATGAAACTTAGTACACCTGATTCCACTCATCATGCTGATCACAACCAATACCTTACATTAAGACCCCACCCATTACAGTAGTGGCCATTTTGAAATGTACAGTATTCAGTTATTTCGCTACTCCTCCTTCAAATTTTGTTCAATTTTCTCCAAACATGCACTCAAATGATCTTCAGACTGAGCCGCATAAAAGTACTGTTCCCGATTTTTTTGTTATACTGGAAAAAAAAAAGTTATAATGTCGCAAACTTAACGAGGTCCACCCAAAATTGGCTAAGAGGCTGTATCTCGGCCAAAGTTTGATCAATCGAAACGAAAATTGGTACACTTCATCGGAAGCATGTTCTGAGGTCCCATGCCAAAGTTGGGAATAGCGCCACCTACGGGTCATGAGATATGACAAATTGCTATTTTGGCCAATAACTTTTGAACAGTTTGTCAGAAATTCATAATTGTGGTATCTATGGATTCCTTGCGTCATGCCGAATCCGTGGATATCGATTTTGCCATGATGGGATGTACCACGTGTCCGCCATTTTGAATTTTGTCATAAATTGCAATATCTTTTAAACTATTTGACATATCAGCACACAATTTGGTAGGGATGACCGACACCATGTCCTAAAGCGACATGAGAAGTTTGATCACAGCGCCACCTAGTGTTCCAGATATATCATTGTTTTTTGAAAAAACGCTTATAACATTTGAAAATATTGTTCAAATTTTGAGTTCTTTATGACATTATGTTCCTTGGTTTATGCCGATTTAGACGATATCTCATTTGTCATTTTCCAACAATGTGACTGGCCGCCATATTGGAGCGAATGTAAAACAGTTTTTTCGCTACTCCTCCTTCAAAATTTGTCCAAAATTGTCCAAAATTTGCTCAAATGATCTTCGGACCGAGCCGCACAGAAGTACTGTTCCCGATTTTTTTGCTATACTGTAATAAAAAAAGTTATGATGTCGCAAATTTAACAAGGTCGACCCAACATTGGTTCAGAGGCTGTAACTTGTGAACAGTTTGTCAAAAAATCATAAAATTGGTGTCTATCGATTCCTTGCATCATGTCAAATCCGACGATATCTATTTTGCCAGGATTGGATGTACCACGTTATAAGCTAAATTAGCATTAAGCTAGCTTAGCATGCTTATCTGGTTAACATGTCATGGAACTTTTTGTGAACTCATTCTCACACTGAAACCTCTACTCAGCAGGCTGGTGAACGTGCATGAGTGATTAGCTCAACGTGTTACACCACAGATCCCGATGTTCAGCGTCGTGGGTTCGCCACTCAGTGTGACATGTGCCCAGACCGCATGAGGTACTGTGGCAGGAAAAGATGCAGAAGTTGCATCTGTTCCAGGCATTGTGCATAAGAATGATCTCATCTGAAGCTGCCACACACAACATGCAGTGCTTTTACGTCCAATTCATTGTTGTTCTTCTTCCAGAAGGGTAGTCAATGGCAGCCCTATGAACCACAAGTTAGAAAATTGGCACACTTGTAGTGATGGTAATGAGTAGTAATCTGACCAATTTTGGATGATTTAATCTAAACTTTTTAAATACAAAATGTTCTCCATTTACTTCAAAATTCTTAATTTTGACTTGATTCTCTCTTGAAAATATTGAATTTCGGCAGCTGTGTGGATGCATGTCTGGCAAGTGGCTCAACGAGATGAGTGACAGGCATCTAACCCATAGATAGTGGGTTCGAGTCCCGTGTGGGACAACTTTAAAATTGTGTATTATGAAATTAATTGATTATGAAACACTTGTAGTGAGTAGTCCAACGTGTGATCAGATGATCTTTGGACCGAGCTGCACAGAAATGATGAACAGGTTTTTGATAGTAGCCCCACATACCAAAGATCTTCCTCTCTGCAGTTGATCTAGCCTGTGTTTGTTGCCTTATCTTAGTTAGGTTAGCATACTAATTGGTTAGCATGCTAGCCAGATGCCATTCTTTCTAATGTGGCTCTTCAGTTATCAGGCTAAACCATAAGGCTTTAAGTGGTGGACAAGTTGCTTCTGTTCCAGGTGAAGGAGCTAGTAGAATAGAACACACAGATAATTTATTTAAAAATTCTTCATTTTGAGTTGCTTCTCACTTGAACTATGGATCTTCTGCATCTTGGCCAAACACAACTTCCAAGTGGTGCAATGAGATGAGTGACAGATATCTGACCCAGAGATAGTGGGTTCAAGCCCCATGTGGGACAACTTTAATTTAAAAAAAAAATGTGTTAAGTTGTCATTTCAATTCCTTTATTATCCAGATAAGCAT